AGAGTTGACGTCGATTCTTACTATTGTAAAGTCATGCAGTGTGTAACCTGTCGCCGATCCATCGTGCAATGTGAACGCAACAGCAACTGAATGCTACCCCTGATAGTTGTGCAGTGTGAAAACAGCGGTGATCCGACGACTTTGAAAAACGTACAGTGTGAACTTGGCATTAATTGTAACTAAACAGTTTTAACTTAAAAGTATACTCCGATTCACGAGTCATTATTTTAGTGAATCAAAAACAGAGTTCTAGAAACTAGATTCTAGAAACTAAAGACTTTCAATGAATAGTTAACAGTTTGTAAAGGGCTGTGTTTCAGAATGATTCAGAGAAAGAAATGTTTCATATACAAGCAAAAACAGACATAACTAAAATAGACCCAAATGAACCAGAATTACAATTGTTCAAGGTTTTTATGCCCCTGCATACCATCACAGACTGGAGGTATGCAGATGAAGTCCTCCGCTCTCGCCTCGAGACGAGCACTGGGTCATTGCATTCTTCCCCGGCATTAACGCCAGAGCGGACTCGCCGTTTGATCCTTTGTGACGGGGCCGCCGGTCCAATTGAAATTTCCTGCTTGCTGACTAGAGAAGCCGAGCTCTGTGTGGCTGTTCCAGTGAGGACCCAGTCATCCTGACACTAATGGAATAGCCCAACGCTCACAATCACCACACAGAAGCTTCTCAAAGAACCCAGAACAACCGGCCAAATGCCCCCCATCATCCAGCTCTAATCTCCCTCAAAACAGGCACATTAAAAGAGAGCGGCTGACAGCCATAATAGAGAGAGCGGGCCGGGGAACAATACTGCCCCATCCACCGCATGTCTTACCGTTGGGTCTTATTGTGGCCCTGGCTGGGAGAAGATTTTTGTATAATAGCTTCCTTTCCTGTTAGAGGAGGGAGGGATTTCTTGTCTCTCATCACTCCACCTCTTTATTCTCGCTAGTTTTTGGCTCAGTTTGGATGCCAGCCAGGATGGGTCAGAGAGTCGGAGCTAGTCGCTCGGACTCTTCACGATATGTGGGTGTTGCGATATTCACGGTCTGCTTTAAATGGAAAAGAATAATACGTCTTGTTATATAAAGCACCAGAGAATAAGTTATCAAGGGATTTTCCAAAGCTGTGGAAAGCATTTATAGGGTAACCATTTGATTTGTAACAGTTCCACTTAGGAACGCAGGCTAATAATTAAGTAGTGTGAAACTATTAAAGATTTAGTAGCCTATGCGGTTTAAAAGAACAAAATTAATCGTGAGAGATGACCCTTCACAAAGACCCGCCCCCTCTTAGTTACTGTTGCTATGTCTGACAAGCCATGCCACTCTCATGCCACACATTCTCAAGCAGTGAAAAATACGTCGCGGAGCAAAGAGGAAACGGACAACACGCCGTCAGACAAGATAAAGCAGGTTACTTCTGACATGAAACAAAGTCTCAGCTTTCAAATTTTAATTTTGTAAGAAATTCAAGCAATAAATACCCTTTTGTTGTTAATATGTCGTTGCAGATTGCTGTAGCACCTCAGTTCAAGTGGCACATGAAGCAATCATCTTCAAAAACGGCACTTAAGGACACTCAAAATATATAGATTAAAAAATATATTTAAATTGCTTATTGTGCCCAAGAGCATGATTTATTAAAGTCCATAGTTTTATGCTTCCAACCACAGGTCAAGTGCTGTAGTTCCATCAACGCATGTTTGCAATTGTTTATTTGAACTATGGTTTCAGGAATCACCAAATCATTGAAGGCATGTTGGTAATGATTGTTGGTAACGATGGAACTTAAGACCATTGTTGGCTAACAATGTTTTGGAGAAAACTTTTCCACGACATTCTAATTTATTGAGATGCACCTGTACTTAGGCCTATTTTATGACGCGGTGATTTCGTACGAATTTGTACAAATAAATCGTATAAAAATGTATGATTTTTAGCAAAAGGCCCGTCCTAAACATTACCGTCATAAGACCGAATAGATCATACAAAAACGTAGGCCTATGTATGAGATCGTACAAATTCATACGAATTAACCACTAATTCGCCAAAACATAAAATAGTTACGAATTGCCATGTCTCAACATGTTAATGCTGTGACAAGTTAAAAACAGTTTGACTTTGGGAAAAACTACACTGATAAATGTGCTAATAGTTTGCCATTTTGAGATTTTCAGCATTGTCCGATTAAAATGATTGCATAGCCAATTCATAGAAGCGCCACAAAATCTACTGACAGCATTGTCAATGGATAACGCACAATTAGTTTACTAATGATTTACCATAAAAATTGTATAAACAAAAGTTGTTAAATTTTATCAGTAGGCTATCTGCTATTCAAAGGCGAATATTGGTTAACAATTAGTTATCATTGCTTTTGGGGGGGGGAGGAGACACGCACTTAAAATTGTCAAATGAAATACCACTACTATTAATAAAAATAAGAAATTTTTCTTAAGCTTCCTTGCAATTTGCAGTTTCACAATGGTAGGAGTTAAAAATGCAATGTCCCATTATTCCTAATTCACCTTAATAGAAAAGGAAATTAGATAAATGTGTAAAAGCATGATTGATTTCTTTGTTCTTGTCTGTCCTCCTCCAAGAACAATGACTGAAAATAGAGTGAAGAACTGCAACAAAACCCAGCAGCGAGGCACAGCAGAGGCTTCCTGATTTAAGGTAGCAGGTGAAATACGATTACAGCTGATGAGAGCCAAGGGGCGGCAGGAAACCGAATGATGAAGCGCAAACACCGCAGTCTCTCTCATCAGGACCGCTGGCCGGGGGAGGGAGACAGACGAATGAGATGCATCCTCCCTCACTGCAGCACCGCAGACAGTGATGGAGCACCACAATATCACAACTACAGATGGAGAGATAGACGGGCACGCAGGGCAGCATGAGAGAGATAAACGGAACTGAGAGCGAAGGATCGCGTAGATTTACGAGCTGGCACGAGATGGTGGTTTTACAAGGCCTGTCCGGCTAGTTAAACGACTCATCGTAAAACAAAGCCATCGGACAGCCATCCATCTGAAAAACAGAGTCTAAACCAAACGCAGTAGCTTGGGTTGGTTCTTAGAAGACAATTAGCTAAGTAAATAAAAAGGTGTTAAAATTATTCATATATATTGTTTCACACTGAAGTTTCACTCAGAAGTTACTAGTAAATTTCACAATTACAAAGAAAAGGCTAGTAACACTTTGAATTAAATATGACATTTTGAAGTGGAAAGACTTATAAGCCTAAATAGTATTTTCTTGTCAAATCAGTCATTTGTTTCAAACAACTTCAAAAAAAGTGTTAAATTTTTTTTTTATACAGTGTAGCACTATATTATATTGGATTAATATTAAAAGTACGGCCAATATTGAGAAGCCAGTAATTATTTTCATTTTATAGATGATGACCAGCATTAAAAGTCTTTACTATTTTGTCTAAAAAATAAATAAAAACTATGTGGGTATCACAATATTATAATGTACAGTATATATGAATTCATTTTAGATCTGCTGAAGATAACATTTTTCATTAGAAGTAATGAATTGTACATGTAAAATTCTACAAGTGAATTTAAGCATCACATCATAATACAGTACAAAATTTTTTTTAATTTTTTTACATTTGCCAAACATTATATTTAGCCTAACACTGGAGTAAATTTCACAATTACAAAGAAAAGGCTAGTAACACTTTGAATTAAATATGACATTTTGAAGTGGAAAGACTTATAAGCCTAAATAGTATTTTCTTGTCAAATCAGTCATTTGTTTCAAACAACTTCCAAAAAAGTGTTAAATTTTTTTTTTATACAGTGTAGCACTATATTATATTGGATTAATATTAAAAGTACGGCCAATATTGAGAAGCCAGTAATTATTTTCATTTTATAGATGATGACCAGCATTAAAAGTCTTTACTATTTTGTCTAAAAAATAAATAAAAACTATGTGGGTATCACAATATTATAATGTACAGTATATATGAATTCATTTTAGATCTGCTGAAGATAACATTTTTCATTAGAAGTAATGAATTGTACATGTAAAATTCTACAAGTGAATTTAAGCATCACATCATAATACAGTACAAAATTTTTTTTAATTTTTTTACATTTGCCAAACATTATATTTAGCCTAACACTGGTCATTAATTAATACATTTCATATAAAACTTTTACACTTTTGAAGATTAACCGAGGGCAATAAAAAAATAAAAAAAAATTATATATATATATATATATATATATATATAAAAATTTTCTACACACACACACACACACACACACACACATTACACTTGACATGTTTCTGGACTTTTCAGCAACAGTAAAAGCAGACCATGATGAGTCAGACCATTAAACCTCTACATGACCTCAAGAACAACCATCAAGTACTTTAATAGTATCACTATTTACAGAAATGTCCTAATACATCAACACTTTCTTGCTCATTGAATGGCAGTCTCGAGTGGACCTCATGAAATGTCCCATCGCTTTCTCTAACAGCTTTATTAAACTCTGTCTGGAGATTCCAGCATCCGCCCCAATACAAAGAGAGATGTCACATGTGAATGGAAAACATCAGATAGCCAGAACAACCTTATCCCAAGGAAACCCAACAACAATTTCATGAGCGCTGTTCTTCTAGGCACATAAAAGGCCACAGTCCTTCGCGTATCGGAAAACACCTGCAGCACAGAGCTATTGTTCTCCCTGACATACAACTGATATTTATACACGGACTGTCAGCGCACAACAAAGGCTCAGGTTTCTCTAGGTTGCATGTGGATCCTTTGTTCTCTTTGGAAAGCGAGAGAAAGAGAGATGGTACAGCAAAACCCAATCAACAGATAGACAAAACGGGACAACAATGACAGGTACTGAGGGATCATTCACAAATACAAAACATGACATTACTGGGAGTTGACGTATGGCAAGTTCTAGAAAAGGTCATAATGCAGGAGACAAAAATGGAAAAACCAATGAGATATCTGACCTTCTTTACGGTTTTAAGAGCAACTCCCAAAAGAAAAAAAAAAAACAGCTTAATTCTCCAGGAACAAGGAAACAAACAAAGAAAACAAAAAGTGTATCACTAGCTAAAGCCACCAAGACTTGGATTTAAGTTATCTGGATAAAGATGAGAACATTCCTCCAGGGCTGGATAAAATCACCTTGTAAACAAGCAGAAAAATGAACATGCAGTCTTTAATCTGACAAGGAACTAGTTCTTTTCAGCTCAGCATTACCTTCAAGCACTGTTTCATACCTTTGTGCTTGCCAAAAGAGCAGGGTAGCTTGGCAACAGGAACAAAGGCAAAGTCAACGGAGTCCAAAGGGGTAAGATGCCACGGCCCCCCTTCAAACACATCCAACCAACCTCATGAGAGAAAAAGCACATTTAGGAGGCAGTCGCTTAACTCAAAGCAGGACAAATGGACTCATGGTGGTGTCTGCTGCCACGAAACCTTTAGCTGGACCAGACCAGACAAGAGGAAGAGAAAGTAGCAACAGGTGCTCCAATCAAGCATGGCTTCTGAACAGCTGGCTTCAGTCTGACAATTTAGACTTAATCTTCCCTCAATAACTTTGAAATCTGATACATCTGGAGATATAGTGGGCATATTATATAT